GTTCCCGCTTACCCCTGCAGCAGTCAGCTGCCCCCCTCACCCCGGGGCCGGCCCCTCGGGCACAAGCAGGCCACCTCCCTCCCTTTCTGCAGTCTGACCCCCCAACATGACCTCTGGGGTCCTCAGGCTGCACTCCCCTCTGCATGACCCGATCTTCCCGCTGGAAGGCAGGACAAGACCGGGGGCACACTGGACGTGCGGCCCGGCCCCTCTGCACCCACCTGGGACGCCCTGCCGCGGTCCCTTCCCCGGGGTGACTCGGAGCGCGCCTTTTCGCCCCAGGACAGCGGCGCCACCCGCACTGGGAAGCCCCTCTGACCTGGGGGCTCAGGGCGGGCCTGGCTGCCTGGACAGACCCAGCATGGCCCTTCTCGCTCAGGCCCGGGACCCTAGCCACCCCCCACATTCCCCCGCCCTACAGAGGCCCCCAGGACCGAGACCGGGCGCCCTCTCTGAGCAGCGGGGCTCTTGGCCCCAGCCCTGCCAGAATCACAGCCATGAGAATGATGCCAGGAGGCAGGCAAAGGGAGGCTTCGGCCATGGAGGCCGCCCAGTCCTGGCCAGGGCGGAGCCCCCAAGGCCCAGCAGCTTTTGCCGGAGTCTGCTGCCCTCTGCTGCTCGTTGTGGGAGCCAGCAAGGGAGGTGGGGTTCCTCCCACACTCTCACCACCCGGGGATGTGCCGGGTCCCTGCAGGGCCGACTGGGGCAGCCCTGTTCTGCAGCTCCCGCCTCTCCATCTCCTCCCAGGTGAGCCCAGAGGGGACAAGCGCCCCTCACAAGCTCCCCACTACCACCCAGGGGTCAGGTCTCCGTCCGAGGACCCAGGCCAGGTGAGTCTGGTGGGGAGACCCTCTCCCGTGCCTGGGGGGCCGTGACCCGGAGAGTGGAGGGCGCCCTGCTTCTGCAGCCCCACAAAGCTCAAGCAGGTCCCACAGCATCGAGAGAAGGCATTTATTACAGTGGGTTCCCTGGGCTCAGCTGGAGGAAACCAAGGCACGGCTCGGGTTCAGAAGTGAGGCAGGGGCAGGCGCAGGCGGGGCTGCAGGCCAGCTGGCGGTCCACCTCCCGGGCTGGCTGCAGGCGGTGCCACTGGGTGAGGGGCCGCCAGGCCTGGGCCAGCATGTCCACCCAGTGCTGCAGGGGCTGGCCCGAGGCCCAGGCGCCCAGCAGAACCTTGCCCATGGGCCCAGACAGCCAGCACCAGGTCCACACTCTGGGCAGAGATGGGCCAGCGGCCCAGGGTGGGGAGGAAAAGGCGGCCGTCAGCGTGACCGGCATGAGGTCCCACCCGCCCGTCCCTCCCACCCAGGGCTTACCCCTTTCTCC